ATGTATGCGCTGCAAAGCTCGTGTCTGAAATATGAAAGACAATTACATTTACATTGAAATACATACAAATATTACATAAATAAAATGACTTAGTTTACTAATTACTAATAAACTCACCGTAAGATGCAAAGCTAAGGAGCTAGGCTGATAATGATGAGTAGGGAGTCTGAACGAAGGAGACACAAACAAACGAGTGATGCTGTAATACCATCCCATGTAGTCTCCTGAAACAGATGGCACATATGTCGGTGTCCCAGCCACAACTAGCTCAACCCTCCTTTCCCACATAGTCACATATCGGACATGTCTGAGTGCCCAATCCTCTGTATGCTTCCCACGCCTATATCCAGCCTATGCAGCTCAACATAAGTGTCGATAGTCCGTGGAACGACCTGCTCAAACCCAAACTGTCGCAAGACTCTATCAGGCAAATGAAGCTCAACAATGTCAAAACATATAAACGGCACACGTGCTCGCCATATGTGAGTATGCTCTCGTCCAGCTGGGGGCAACTCTGCTAACATCTCAGGTGTACACGACATCCATGTAATCTGTTTCATAAAGATACAAAATTAGGAGATTTTATTTACATTTTATAGTTAATGTTATACTACCCACACCATACCTGGTCCTCAGACATCCGATCTAATGCATCCATGTACACACCGAGCCCAGTAGCAGAGGACATGCGAGATAGACCAGCATATAACCATCTAACCATTCACGTAACAGTATCATTAATATGGATATTATTAATGTATTTACACACAACATACACTCACATAAATACAAACTCAATGTGGACACATACCGACGGCCTAGAGGGTCCTCGCCCCGTACATGATGAGGTCCTAGAAGACGTGGAGGCTCATCAGGTAGTGGCTGTCCATCAATGCCATGATATCCGACTATAATGGGACGCCCAATGTGGATATACTCCCATGACCAAATCTGGAGGAGTAGCAAAAATCCCCCAAGCACTGTGCTCCCTCTCTGGCAGCCGCGACAAAGCTGTCTGTACAAGTAAGCCAGGGTGGCACTACCCCAGCTGAACTGTGCTGCTACATCAAACCTCTCTAGCAAAGGCAAGTGCAGCACCTGAACCTCATTTCCGCTCTTGTCAGCGAAAATGGAGGCTCCCATCATCATTAATATATAGGCTCGAGCATGCTGCTGGATCATCACCTCATCAGCGTCGGGAGGAAGCACCTGGAAGTGCTCCCTCAACCATGGCATCCTCAGAGATGACCCCTGAAGGTCAGTCCTAAGAACGGGGAAGATACCTAACAACCGCTCACACTCATCCACCCACTGTCGACAAGCAGTGCCTGTAACAGCTCTCCCATGAACCTCTAACCCGGTAAGTACAGCAACATCTCTCAATGTCACTGTCACCTCACCAACAGGGAGGTGAAATGAGTGTGTCTCCTGCCTCCAACGCTCAAGTAGAGCTGTGAGAAGCGCTCTATCTAGAGGCACAGTAGCCACTAATCTGTGAAGAGTATAAAAACCTGCAGCCCCAACATAGGCCAGTACTCTATCGTCGACGTGCAAATGCGACAGACCCCGCAGGTGCTCGCGGCAACTATCCACCTGAACATCCATGCCAAGCTAGACATCCTCACTCCTGTGCGAGGCCTGCAATGTCAGGACAGAACGATCACTCGGCCCAGGATCCGCTGTCACCTCCATGCCTGGACATAAAAAAACATTGTATTACTGCTTACTAAATAATATATTAATTATTTTTTTTAACATCCTTTTTTGAAATTATTATTTTTTCTTTCAACGAAAACATTAATTGTCATTAACTTTAAATAGAACCTTACCCAGCGGACCCCCCCCTTGTTTCTAGACGATCTCTTCGCACATGTGGCTCTATTATGGCCGGTTTGGTGGCATTTTCCACATCTAACCGTTCCTCGTGGACCTTCATCCATCTCATTCTTAATGTGTATCGACTTTGGTCTTCCCTTAGCCCGTAACATGGATGGATCATGCACTATTTCGGGTCCATTGTAAGTAGGCCAATAATCACGATCAGGAATCTGTTTGAAGACTCTATGATAAGTGGCGGCGTATTGGTCAGATGAGAAAAACTTATCCACAAATGGAGCATAAGACAAACTATGTTGTCTACACACGGCTAACACATGGGAGCATGGAATCTTATATATCTCCATCTTTTTACAAGTGCAACTTTTCCTTTGTAGATGGACAATTTGTTTTCTCCCACCCTTTCCCAACGTTCGGCCATCACAACCGGTTTCCACCTGAAATATACCTCGGCCTAAATCAAATGGAGTGACACTGTGATGCTTTGCCTTCTCTCTATTTTTTTCAATTAAATCAGTGATGTGTGGGGAGTACTCGTGGCCTTGTGTGACCCTCAATTTACTGGTTTCACGCCTAGTAACAAAATATGCGTTGACCCGGTAAAAAGACACCTGGACCAAGGCGGTGATGGGCAAATATCTAGCATTTTTCATGACGCTATTGAAAACCTCTGCCAGATTTGAAGTGGTGGTACCGTATCTGTACCCGCCATCGTGGTGCAATGACCACATTTCTGAAGGAATGTCGGCCAAAAAGTGTCGTGCTTCCAAACTCATTTCACCTATCTTCTTGAACCCACCATCAAATTTCTTTTTCTGATGTTGCCGTGCGATCCACACAAAAAGATTTTTTAGATGAATGTCTTTGAAATGAGTGTGCACATTTGATGCAAGATGGCGGATGCATAGCCTATGATGCGCATAAGGCTCCTCCCAAGTACTGCCCTGACAATACCTCCGTGTCTATCTGAAATGACACACAACTCCCTGTTACTCACAAACTGTCTAATACATGCCATAAACCATGGCCAACTATCTCGATTCTCAGGTTCAACAACTGCAAACGCCACTGGAAATATTTGGTTGTTCGCATCACAACCCATGGCCACGAGCAATGTACCCTTGTACTTTCCATACAAGTGTGTCCCATCAATAGTAAGTACGGGTCGACAATGCTTAAAACCATGTATTGATGCCTTGAATGCCCAAAAAACTCTTTGAAACATCATATAACCTGTGGGAGTATTGGGGGGTGGGTACCACTGAACAATAGTTCCAGGATTTGGAATGTTGGAGCGCTGTCATGAAACGGGGCAATGTAGAATATGACTTCTCCCAACCGCCAAATATTTCTACTACGGCCTTTTGCTTCCCCATCCATGTTCTCCGATATGATACCGTATACCCATATTTTTCCTTCAGCATCTCAATGATAGTATGCACTTTAAGAGAAGGATCAGTGCGAACAATGTCTATCACATCTTTAGAGATGAAATCTGAAGTCAAAGCCACGTGATCGGTAGTGTCGGTGTTGCCAACGCACGTAGCAGAATGTGGTCCAGGATAACACACAATTGTGAAGGTGTCAAGGTTGCCTTTGTTCTTTGTAGCGCGTATTCTCCAGTGGCAATCACATTCTTTCTTCCTTTTGCATTGTGCCACCCACTTGTGTTTATCGGACTCTATCACCCGATAAAATTGGTTCCGTTTGATAGAATACAAGCTCACCATATTGATGACTTGTTCTTTGTTGTCAAACTGTTGACCAACCTCAAACTCACCATCAGGGATAAACCTTTTCTCACCTGATCCACTCATCCACGCATCAGTAAACCCTTCATGGAGATCATAAATTCTAGTAAAATGGCTAGACGTGGCAGTTTTCGTGACAGTATCACCATCATCTTCATCAGATTCTGTCATGTCATCACCATTGATGTTCTCGTCAGCATCATCATCAGTTCCCTGACCATCCACAACCGATGCACCGTTGTGCAAATACCTACCATCTTCCTGTATAATCATGTCCAGTACAGGAGCCTTTGAGGAGTTCCCTGCATTCACCCCTGCATTGATGTTGATTGAGTACCATAGGCGTCACAGGATTCCTCAATGTATATCTCAAGCGTCGACATATCCTCCATCTGAGTTATGCCCCACATATTTGTTATAGGTAGCTCATCAATGAGGGGCATAAGCATGTACTTTCCCCCGTTCATGGGAAATTTCATTTTCAACCGCAAAGAACGGCTAGGATGAATCATTGTGGCTGCATGTATTTTTTGAAGGATCTCCAGCATGCAAGCGCCACGAGAAACCATGACAAAGCTGGTTCTACCACCTTCAAGGCATATTTGCCCAGCATCCTCATAATAGTTCCCTCCCCAGTGACATATGATTGAGAAGTTTGAGAAATCCATATTCTAATAACAATGCATTGTTCAACATTCATGAGTAGACATCAATATACACACTTTAAACACATTCAAATTTTCAATAGAAAAAACTACCAAAATTGTAATATATCCAAAAGTCAAAATTCACAAACAATTCACATTTCAATATGAAACTACCCAAATTTTGATATCTGCATTCAAGTCTACATTTCAATACCCAAAATTTAGCTACATTCAAGTCTACCCAAATGCCAAATGTCAAAATACACACTACAATTTACAATCAATTTAAAATCAAATTTCAACATTTCATACATATCCACATTTCACAAAAATTGAATTCACAATCAATTCATAATCCAAAAATTCAAAAATTTTAACATTCAAAACCCTAAGTTCAAAATGAGATGAAATGGAGTTTGATTTACCAAGAATCAAGAAGAAAGAGTGTTGGAGCTAGAGATGGAGGTTCGCCGGAATGGGGTCGCCGGAGATGAAGGTTCGCCGGAGTTGGAGATGGCTCTCGTCCTTCGTCGGTCGTCACTCGTCGTTGGTCGCTGCAGTTTAGCTCGAGGGGGGGTTTGTTTAGCGATCTGTTTCTGTGGCTGTTTGCATTGAATTTACTTAAGGGTAAGTCGCCCAATGGTTGGGCGACTTACCCCGACCATGGTTAATCCAGCAGTATTTTGGTAAATACTTTTAACCCAGCCCTATTTTCGTAATTAATTAATTAATTAACATTAATTAGGAAAAAAACTCAAGAATATGAAGAGCATATAATGATCATAAACATCTAAAAAAAGACGGGACAGATGCCGAGTGAGCTTTAAAAAAACTGCAGCGATCAAAGTGGAGAACCGCCAACTAGAAACACCTGTGATCCTCGCTGGTCGAATCAACTCCGCCACAAACATCGCCCCGGCGCCTTCTCCATCGGGCCTGCAAATTTACCATTCCTCTTTTTCTCCTTTCTAGAATTGATCAGCTAGGGGTTTTATTGTCCTTGCTACCGGAATTGATTTGAATCAAGTTGAATTTTTAACTCCGGTGGAAGTTTAGAGAATATGGGGAGCCCAAAGAAGAACCAGAGTAAGGGCTTCTTCGCGTCCATGTCGTCGGGTTTGTCGATGTTTGGCAGCGCCCTACATAGATCCGTCAACGGGTAAGCCGCTCGATGCATCTGTTTCTGCCTGTTTTGTCTAGTCTAGCTTATTTAATCTTTTCTTAATGCTCTATGATTGAGATGAATTTCCGAACACGCACACATGTATGTATGTATGCATTTATGTGCATGTATGCGTATATTTGTGTATGTATGTATGTCTTAAAATGTTTTTATGGCCAATTTGTTGTATGTATTTTTACTTTGTATCCTTTTTGCTCAATTTTCCTTTCATTTTTATTAGGTTTCAGAGTTATGCAAGGAACTTATGCAATTATTATAACACATGGAGTCTGATAATAGTTTAAACTTGATGATTAAATGTCTACCAATTCAGATTTTGAAAACAAGGATTTTTTTTGGAAGCTACAAATTAGCAGACTCCTATAATTTTGTGTATGTGGGGCTGTGGTTTTGCTGGCTCTGTAAGCAGTTAGAAGCTAAGTAGTTAAATTGCTACTCGGTAGCAACTTGGTCAAGGGCTGAGTAGTGAGTAGGACCAAGTACTTGGGATTACTTGGTGATTAGGCGGCCCTATATTAATTAATTTTAAAATATAAATGTCCGAATTTATAGTAATATACGGAGTATTATTTTATAATTCTTGGATATTAATAAAATAATAATAATAATCCTAATGAAGAAGAAACGAGAAAGAAGATAGAGGAGAATAACTTACCGAAAGATGAGGAACCACTGATTGAATGAGCCGATGTTTGAAATAATATGAAATCTAGACTTTTTAAGGTTAATTTCCATTTTTGAAAATACCCACTCATTATTTATAAATTCCATAATACCCATCTTTAATTAAAACTTTTCACATTTAACCAAAAAATTTATTTTATACTGGCTGAGTAACTCGCCAAGTCAGGAATTTCCCCGAGTCAAGAAACTCGCTGTCTACTTGGCGAGTAACTCGGAAAAACAGGGTGGGCCAAGTCGGGTTGCTAAACAGAATGGCCACCATCGAGTTGCGAGTACTCATCGAGTACTCACCGAGTAGATAACACAGGTTAGAAGGGCAGTTTATGCAATTACTGCCTGAATCAGCTTACAAAGTTTTATCAGTTGCATTACCCCGAGCATCTCATTGTAGAGCTTTCACTTTTTCCCCAATTCAGTAGTTGCTAGACAAATGTTACTGTGTATTACATATTGAACGGAAATTCCTGTTCAATCTGTGGCCATGGCACATTAGTTACACTTGGGATTTAGAAAATTGTTAACATATTCTTCGAATGCTAGCTGTTAGGTAGAACTGATGGCCATCCTAATTTTAGGACTACATATATACTTAGAATATAGGTACTAGCTGCTCGATTATTGTTTTATTGCTTGAGGCCATTAATTTGTTTCACTTTAATGTTATAGCTTAATATGCTTTGCGAGTTTGCTTTATAAAACTTATTTTCATCAATCCTACGTTTCCAGTTTACGATTTACCTACTTTAGGCTTGTTGAATGAGGCTGTCATTATAGATCTGCCAAATTCCTCTCAATTATCATTAATGTTAAGTGGTTCTGTGGGTGAAGCATTCTGGTTTAACTCAGCTCCTCTTTCTCTTTTCACATCTCCTATAGATTGCTTGGATATGAAGGATTGGAAGTTATAAATCCCGAAGGAGGTAAAGAAGATGCCGAAGACGAAGCACACAGAGGCAGGTGGAAACAGGAGGTGAGCCATATTGAAACCATATGTTAGGATGGTCTCTGTACATTACATTTTCCTTTGAATATTCCAAGTAATGCCAGGACTTTAGACACATTTGTGGAAGCGTATGTGAAAAGATGTTTGGTTGTGCACACATTATGGTGAAAATGAATCTAGTCTTGTGCATATGCTGCACGTTTATTAAATTAATCTGTATGGCAAGAGGGTTCTCTTTTTGTTTAGTTTAGTTTAGTTTTGTTTTTTGCATGTCTATGTTCAAATTCTTTATCAACATTTAACTTGTGGAGTGTTGAAATCCATCATATTTACATTTGTATGTAAATTGGTTTAGAGTTTATAAGCATTTCATGTAACATATTTCAATATGCAAACTAATATATTTATTGGTATATCAAAAGGAACGAGATAGTTACTGGAGGATGATGCAGAACTACATTGGAGCTGATATTACATCTATGGTGACACTTCCTGTTCTTATATTTGAGCCGATGACAATGCTTCAAAAAATGGCAGAGGTTTGTTTGCTTGTTTAGCTACCACACAAGACTCCCACCCACCCCCACTGCCACAAAAAAAACATAAGAGAGATAAAATCATGCTTACGTGTTAATTCATTTTTTTTTGTGTGTGGCAGTTAATGGAATACTCTCACCTTTTAGACAAGGCTGATGAATGTGAGGATCCCTACATGCGGTTGGTCTATGCAAGTGAGTACTTCACTTTAGCATGCAGAAAGTTTTTGTCATTTGATTTTTTTTTTTTAAAGAAATAAGGGAGTGATGAAAATTCTTGTAGCATCATGGGCAATATCTGTTTACTATGCCTACCAACGTACGTGGAAGCCTTTCAACCCAATTCTTGGTGAGACTTATGAAATGGTGAATCATGATGGCATTACATTTCTTTCAGAGCAGGTAATTCCTTCATGTCCATATTCCCTTAATTTGATCTTTGGGGCCTCCTGCCGATCTTTTCTTGCATTCTATTCCACAGTGAATATATATATATATATATATATATATATATATATATATTGGCAGTTAAGCAGATACTGTGCTGGGTATTTATGAAAATGGAAAGAGCGTGAAAGTAAATTTTGATGTACTTTTTGGAATTTGTTAAAGCTGTGTGTAGATTGTAAATTTTTATGCGATTTACTTTTCTTGTGTTACTGATTAAAACTTGGCAGGTGAGTCATCATCCTCCAATGAGTGCTGCACATGCTGAAAATGAGCATTTCATATATGATATTACATCAAAGTTGAAAACCAAATTTTTAGGAAACTCTGTGGATGTTTATCCCGTTGGAAGGTCAGCATCTCATATCTTCCCTTTACTTCCTTTTGGCTCAAATTCTGCATATTTTATTTGCTTGAAATAATCCGCTGCCTTTATTTTATAATTATAATACTTCTAGCAAATTTTTCTGGAGTATTGCTCTTGTTAATATTTGAAAATCGAAATACCAGCTCCCCTCCCTTGTAATCAATACTTGTTTTGGGTGTGAGTGTCAGATAACTAGTTTCAAGTTTGTTTACTAATTTCCACTTATAGTTAATTACAAAGTATACTTTTTGTATTTTTTTGTGATTATTACATGTCATTTTTAATGTAGTTTCTTTCTGAATATAATCTATTATAGGTTAATTATGATTTATGACTTCTAAGCATAATTTTTTTATTATATTTTATCATGCCTTGCTGCAAAGGCTAAACACGTGAAATGGCATAGAATAGTTAATAGAACATCAACATTGAAATGAACTCTTGTTAGGCACGATAACTGAAGTCCCCTAAAGCCATTTGGCTCTATTTAAATTAAGTCAGAAGACAATCATAAGTTCTTAAAACAGAAATCTTCAACATATATACGCTCTGATTGCAGAACACGGGTGACTCTTAAAAGAGACGGTGTTGTCTTGGATTTAGTTCCACCACCAACGAAGGTCAACAATTTGATTTTTGGTCGGACATGGGTGGATTCACCTGGAGAGATGATCATGACCAATCTGACGACAGGAGACAAAGCTGTGCTATATTTTCAACCTTGTGGCTGGTTTGGGTATGATATTGCTTATTTTGCCTTTACCTTGACATCTCTGGTCGCACTTGGTTGTCTGTACTCTATAGACAGGGCTTATGATTTTGTGGTAAAAGTTGTTCCTTCTGCACCGGAGTTTGGTGATTGTGTTCTATGTGCTCAGCCCTACCTTTTCTATTTCATTCTTTTTCCATTTTCACTGGTGGGGCTAATTTCTCTATTACTCCCTCCTTTCCAAAAAAATAATCATGTATCAATTGTCAAAAACTTTTTTATGTCTTTAAAAAAACTAAAAAGAGTCCTTTTTAAAGTAAGTGTCTTCTAAAAGAGTCAGTCATGTTTCATCATTGGGACTATTTGTTGTATGCATTTGTCAAAAATGTAACAAACATGCCTAACAAGATAAACTTTAGTTAAACCAAAAAATGACTTCAACAAATATACTCCCCCCGTCTTGCTAAGATTGTTCCATTTTTCCTTTTCGGTCCATCCCACTAAGATTGTCCCATACCAAATTTAGTAAAACTTTTTCTTACTTTATCAATTTAATATCAACCACATAATCCCACTTTTATTGTTATGCGTGCCACTCCCTCTCCTACCATTATTAGTAGGACGGAGGAAGTAATAAGGTTCCATTACTCTAAGAGTTGTAGTGTGAAATTAAAAAGTTGAACTTTGACAAAATAAGACACTTTTTTAGATGAAGAATTTTTCAGTGTAAACAAGTAAAACATCTGGTCATTGTAAGCCATCATGAAAATGTCATGCTCTTGTTCAGGTCTGGGAGATATGAGGTTGATGGTTATGTTTATAATGCTGCTGAGGAACCCAAAATTCTGATGACTGGAAAATGGAACAAATCAATGAGTTTTCAACCATGTGACATGGAAGGAGAGCCCCTTCCTGGCACAGAACTTAAAGAGGTAATAAACCGGGTTCTTTTATCATTGTTCAGATTCTTTATGATGTACACTATCTCACTGCAATGTAAACCGGAGTATTGGACACAGGAGGCAGACAACGTGTTACGGAGTATATAATTTCAACAGAGGAACAACCTAAAAGTAATGGGTTATATAGCATAAATATTTTAATCTGGTTTCAAATATGATATGCTCGCAGCACACTCTGATGGGGTTGCTTCTTTAGATGATAAGCTTGAATGTTATTTTCTCTGTTAATATGGTGGCTGCTAAGTTAATTGTAAAGTAATAACACGCATGTAATATGTGTAGGTTTGGACTCTTGCTGCTGTTCCAGAAAATGATAAATTCCAGTACACTCACTTTGCTCACAAAATTAACAGCTTTGATACTGCTCCAAAAAAGTTACTAGCATCTGATTCTCGTCTGCGCCCTGATAGAGCTGCTCTTGAAATAGGCGATCTGTCCAAAGCTGGTTCTGAAAAAAGCAGGTATGTCAAACATAATCTTTTTATTGCTTACAACAAACACGTACATCCAAAATGTGATTTCAATATTGTGATAATCTAGAGCTGCTTCTACTCCCTTAGTCTCTCCTCCATAAAAATGATGTCACTTTTGTACATTGTAGTGTGCGTTTGGAACATGGAAATAATAGGGCAAAAAAATAAGGGAAAATGAGAGAATGATGAGAAAGAAATAAAATTTGGGATAAAATTAAAGAGCAGTTCAAACTCTAGATTTATCTCATTTTATTTATTAATTCAAATAGAGTATATCTTGAAAAACGTATATATTATTCTCCTTATGCATTTTTTGAATCTATATCCAAACGACATAAGGTAACCACCTTGACATTTTGTTTTCTTTCCCTTGAGCATTTTCTCCAAACATTTCAAAGTGTTTCACACATACTTTTGAGACTCGTAGTAATGATGCTGCCACATATGTAGTAGAACAGACTGCAAAATACTAACATGCCCTTAATTTAGTTATCCATGCTTTAATAATATGGGAAGTTTAACCATATAAAATGTAAATAAAGGTAAAATTGGAAAAAATGCAACAGAAGTTGCATTGAAATGTAAACATATACTGCAACTAATTTGAGCGAAAGGGAAACTGAGAAAGTGACATCCTTTTTGGAATGGGGGGAGTGCTGTTTTAGGGTACGGGCTACGAGTATTTAGTTATGTAACCATTTGTATCCTAGGATACCCGTCTCAATAAATTATACTTCCTTGACCTTTTTATAGCTTGGAAGAGAGGCAAAGAGCTGAAAAGAGAAGCCGTGAGACGAATGGGCATCAATTCTCACCAAGATGGTTTGATTTAACCGATGAAGTTAATCCAACACCATGGGGAGAAATAGAAATTTACCGCTATAATGGCAAGTACGATGAACATCGTGATGCTGTTGATTCTTTGGGTAGCATTGACGCGGAAGATCCCAAGTCAGTGGAGTTCAATCCATGGCAGTATGGTAATCTTACGTCTAGCTGAAGCCTGAAGAAGTGATCAAAGTTTTCGGATGCATACAAGGAATTCTCTTACAATTGCTGTGGTTTGTGTACAATATCTGTATCTCATGTCCTATATGTCTGAATTGTTTGTTCATCCTCTTTGTGGCAAAGTTGTATTTGCATAGTTTATTTAAGTGATGAAGTTAGGGCTATAGGGGAGGTTTCTGTCCTTTTCACTGTTGACGGTGATTTATGTGAATCCAAGTATTCTCAATTTCTCATTAGATACATCAAAAACCTCATTTCTTTTTATACTACTACATATCTCCTGTTACAAGGATATAATGGGTGTCCCATATCTGTTGTATCAACTAGTGTTCAAAATGTTGGCTTGAAAATAACTGCAATTGTTCGTATGGAGTCTCCTACTCTCCTTGCTTTTGATTAGCACGTCATCCACACGCAGGCTTGAAAATAACTGCACGATATATTTCCTGACCGTTGTTGTAAAAAACCATTTCTGCCTAATCCCCTGCCCAGGCTCTCAAGTCTCAATGACCCCTAGGCTCCCCCCCACCTAGGGTTGGACTCGGGCCGGGCGGTCCGAACTGGAACCGGCCCGGCCTGGTCACTGTTTGAACCGGCCTGGCCGGTTCGGCCCCGGTCCGGGCCGGATTTATTTTTTTATTTTTTTTGATTTTTTTTTTTTAAGTTTTTGGGGTGGATTGAGTATTTTGCGCCATTTGAGGTGGTTTGGGGTGGTTTGGGGTTGAGGGGGAGGGTAGGGGGTTGATTAGGAAACCCAATATATATATATATATATATATATATATATATATATATATATATATATATATAGAGAGAGAGAGAGAGAGAGAGAGAGAGAGAGGAATGTTCATGTCAGGCCGGCCTGACGGGCTGCTCCGTCCGGCCGAGCCCGTTTGGGCACCTTCCCGGTGGAATTTTTTGATGAAATTTTTTGAGCATGTTCCTCATCAAGTCTAGTTTGTCCATACCAAATTTCAGCTCAAAATTCGATCGGGAAGGCATTCAAATCATTTTTTGAAGTTGACTGCAGTTTTATATGTATATTTTGACGCAGTCAACTTCAAAAAATGATTTGAATGCCTTCCCGATCGAATTTTGAGCTGAAATTTGGTATGGACAAACTAGACTTGATGGGGAACATGCTCAAAAAATTTCATCAAAAAATTCCACCGGGAAGGTGCCCAAATGGGCTCGGCCGGACGGAGCATCCCGTCAGGCCGGCCTGATGAGAAGAGCACTCTATATATATATATATATATATATATATATATATATATATATATATATATATATATATATATATATATATATATATATATATATATATATATATATATATATATATATATATAGAATTTGGATCAAATGAAAAAAAGTCTTAACGTGTAAAATGAGAATTAATTTCAGCCGTCCAAAGTGTCGATCTGATGCACAACAACCCATATCAGATGCACTTTCGAATAGACCTTATTCCGAAAAGTGCATCGAATAAGGTCTATTCGAAAGTGCATCGGATATGGGTTATTGTGCATCAGATCGACACTTTGGACGGCTGAGATTAATTCTCATTTTACACGTTAAGATGTCTTCTCATTTGAACCGGGTCCGGCCCGGTCCGTCCGGCTTGAACCGGACCCGGCCCGGCTTGAACCGGACCAGGGGTAACCCGGGCCGGTTCCGGGCCTCCCCTACCTTTAACCGAGGCCTGGCCGGTTCAAGGCCCGAACCGGGCCCAGCCCGGAACCGGTCCACCCCTACCCTCACCTAGCTACGTAGTATATCATATCTAACTTACTAATCCACCCAACGTCTAACTCCAACTATAATGGATCAAGTTAGAGTGTTTTAGCATCAAGGTAGAGTGTTTTAGCATCTAGAGCCTTCTTCTTTGCCCATCCCACCGTTAATTGTCGTAATGCACTTTGCCATGCGGCAGAAGATCTCAAGTAGGGATGGACCTGGGCCGGTTCCGATTTGGGCCGGGCTGGGCTTTTGTTTGGGAAGTAGGGAACCGGAACCGGCCCGGGTGACCGGCTGTTCCGGGCCGGGCCGGTTTCCGATTCAATGGTTTTTTTTTTTAATTTTTTTTGTTTTTCTAAATTACCCCCGACCCCCCCCCCCCCTTCATCCCCATCCCCCAAACCCCCCCAAAACACCCAGCCCTACCCGGTAGAAACAAAAAAAATTGAAAAAAAAAATGGCCCGTATCGGCTGAGCCGGTTCAACATTTTCAAGCCCCGAGCCCGAACCGGGAGTTGGGCGGTTCCGGTTGGCCCGAATCGGCCCCAAGACCGGGAACCGGGCCGGGCCCAAACAGTACCGGGCCGGGCGGCCCGACCCGAGTCCACCCCTAATCTCAAGCTGACTAAAATCCCCTACAAGGTACTACGTTCACTTAGTGTTGGACACGGTTCGGGCCGCCCAACCCGGGAAACGGCCCGGCCCGCTACTGTGTGGGCCCGGTTATACCGGTTTTTGTTCCGGGACTAGGCCTGGTCCCGGGGGTTAGGGTGGGGGCGGTCCCTGTTCACCCCCTTCTTTGGAACCAGCATAGGCCTGGTTCAGGCCTTTTTTTTCATTGTTTTGGGTTTTTTTCCTGAGTTGGGCTCGGTGTTTTGAGAGGGTTTGGGGATGGGGTGGGGGGGTGGGGGGGGGGGGGGGTTAATAAGAAAAGAAAAAACTGCATGGACCTGGTCCGAACCCGGTGGTAACCCGGGCCGGTCCTGGGCCTTCTACCAAAAATAAAAAAATTGGCCGGGCCTAGGTCCGACCCGGCCCGAGTCCATGACTACGTTCACAGGATTGTTCGTGAATCAATGCTGCCCTGATATTGCTTATGATTTTACTATATTATTATTATAAAAAGCTATGTCAGTACGTGTAGTCATGGACTCGGGTCGGGCTGCCCGACCCGGAACTAGCCCGGAACCGGTACTGTTTGGGTCCGACCCGGCCCGGTACCCGGTCATAGGATTGGTTCGGGCCATCCGGATCCGGGAGTTAAATAGGGCGGGCTCGGGCCTCTCAAAAGTCGGAACCGGCCCAACCTATTTCTTCTATTTTTTCTCAATTTTTTTGGTTTCTCCCGGATTGGTCTGGGTGTTTTGGGGGGGTTTGGGGGCGGGGGGTTAATTAGAAAAGCAAAAGAAAATTAAAAAAATAACATGAATCGGCCCGGACCGGAACCGGCCTGACCCGGAACCGCTGCCTACCCGGGCCGGTTCCGGTTCTTTATTTCCAAAAAAAAAAGACCGGCCGGGCCCAAGCCTGAACCGAAACTGGCCCGGCCCGGGTCCCTGACTAAGTACGTGTATCTTTTGTATTTTAATAATTCATGGAAGACAAGTTTTAAATTTTATTTAGAAGTAACAGTTTTATTTCATCACATCTGAAGGTATAACCGTATAAGTATAAAACTGACTTTACATTAAACTTTAGGCGAATTGTAGTTATTTGAGAAAAGGGCAAATAAGCTCATGTACTAACAAAAAAAAAGTCAAATAAGCCCTTATTTAGGATACTCTGTCCGGCTGTCGCCATTTGGGGTGTTTCCCGGTGGAATTTTTTGATGAGTTTTTTTTTTAGCATCTTATTCATTAAGTCTAGTTTACTCATACCAAATTTCAGCTAAAACGGGAAGACATTCAAATGAATTGTTGAAGATAACTGCGCAGTTAAAAGCGCAATTATCTTCAAGAATTCATTTGAATGCCTTCTCGATTGAATGATTAGCTGAAATTTGATATGAGTAAACAAAACTTAATGAATAAGATGCTCAAAAAATTCCATCAAAAAATTACACCAAGAACTACCTCAAATGGTGAGGGCCGGACGAAACCTAGTTATTTGCCCCATATAGCCTTCACCAGAAAATAAATAAATACTGTGGTATAACAGAGAATCCATGGGGTAAACAAAGCTGTTGATTTGAACCGAGAACATCTTAAGAAAAGAGCATTTTAAGTGTGAGGTGTAATACATTAAACTTTCTCGTGCGCTAAACTGTGGGATTTTATTAAAGTACTTCACAGCATTCACTTCTTACTTTTTTTGCAAAATTCGCAGGATTTTGTGCTTCAAAATTACGGTATACAATATTGATAAATTTATATGCTACCTTCGTGACATTGAGTCTCTGGACAAGGAGTGTGGACTACAAGAAACCATAAAATTATCTGATTATACGGAATTCGAAAATTACATATGATATTGAAACATACAAATGGATTGTTCGATCGTAGGAGTTTAATCTTGAGATCTGTGTGTAAAATGGACCCATAAATATTACCATGATTAGATGCCCAATCACAGTCGACTGATTTTGCAGTTTTGATAGGCAATTTGATTTCACATCTCACTTTTTGGGTAATATTGGATTTCATACTTCATTTTGAAAAAAACTTTGACTTTGTACCAATCATATACTCCCTCCGTCCCCCTAAGTTTGGGACAGAGGGGTGTGGTGTGGTTTTTAAGAAAAAGTGGAATTGTGTGGTTGGTATTGAATTGATAAAGTGTAAATAAAGTAAGAATGAATTCTAACCACTCAAATGTTACCAAATATGGTATGGGACAAACTTAGTGGGACGGACGAAAAATGTAAAACGGGACAAACTTAAGGGGACGGAGGGAGTAACATTTTGTGAAGAATTGTTTTTAGATGGGGTGCAAAATCAAAAGATTTTTAAGTGAAATGAGGTGTAAAGTCATTGTTTTAAATGAGGTGCAAAGTTCAATACCAGCCAAAAAGTTGGTGCAAAGTCAAATTCCCCCATTTTGATTTTGTACCAGAAGTGGCACTCGGAACCAATCTAAATTGATCTCGAATTGGTCAAAAATTTACTTGTTCTGTTTGTTTAAATAGACTCATACTTGGAATTTAATCAGGAATGAGACAATTCCCTAAATAGAAGTAAATAAATCGTTGTCTGAATTGAAACTTAAATTGAATCTGGACCGGTCTAGGTATCTCCCTGGATTAGGGCTATTAACGAACTGAGCTTTTATCGAACTATACGAGTTTGAGCTCAATTCTGAATGCAACGAGCTGAGCTTAACGAGCTTTCGAACTTGAACATGAGCTGAGTTTTAAGTTCGAACAATTAATCGAGTCAAGCTCAAACATCGTAGTATTAGGCTCGGTTCGAGCTCGAGCTCATCAGAAACCCTGATATTATATATACTCCGTATAATTTATGTATATATGTCAAAATTTAAATGTAATTAATATGATTTTAGGAATTTAAATATGATTATTAACGAAGCGAATACTTGTCGAATAGTTCGAGACGAGCTTATTAACGAGCAACATTTAAAAATTCAAATTCAAGCATGTTTATTGAGCTTATCGAGCACTTGGTTTGAACACTAAATATCTATCGAGCCGAACACGATCTTCATTCGTAAAGCTCATCGAGCTTTGAGTTCAAATCCAAACACCACTATTACCGAATCGAGTCGAACTCAAACTCAAACTCTAGGTGTTGAGGCTCGACTCATTAACCGCCCTACCCTGGATGTGGCCCAAGGTGCCTTCTCATAAGAGAGAGCCCCAATTTGATCCTTTGTGCCTGACGATCAACGGCAACTTCTCTCCACTTTAGTTTCTACTCTCTAGTCTCTACTCTTTCCTCTTTTTTCATATCGAGTACTACATCCGTCCTAATAAGATTGGGATAATTACGATGCTTGACCGACGATAAAGCAAATAAATCCTTGTTCATTCTCAATTTTTTTTAGGAAAAAAAAATTACGTATTTAGAAACTACATTAAAAGCTTTACAAAGTCGCAAAAACCTGAATCAAATTTGATAAAAATTTGATATATAAAGTAAGAAATTAAGAGTGATTTGTGTTTACCAAATAAATAGTGTCTGAGACAATCTTAGTGGGACTGAGAGTATTTCTTAAAAATTTTATCCTAAATAAGAATAAAAGTATTTGTAAATTACAGGATAAGAGCGTTATGCTATATTTTATATATTCACTTGTACGGAGTACATGTCATTAGTGATAGTATTTTCGAAGTTTTACACTTATTTTCAAACTTGACTATAACTATTTATATTTAAAACTTGACTATAACTATTTATATTTAAAAAAAAAACAATGTTAAAACGTTTTTGCTTTTCGGGAATGTTCCCTTTTTTTATTAAATCTAGAGAATTTACCCTAAATAGGACTAAAAACGTTTGTAATTTTCAAAATGGGACTGTCATGTTTTTAGTTCCCAAAATGGGACCAATTACTGTCATGTTTTGGCAGTACCAGACTTTAAACATGGCAGTATTTTCCAAACTTGACAGTAATTACTCCTATTTTGGGAATAAAAACATGACAGTCCTATTTTGGAATTGGGATAAGGCTCAAATTGGACACTATGGTTTCATCTGAATCTCATATTTGACATTAAGGTTTCAAATGGATCAAATTAGACACTGGTTTCATATGTATCTCATATTGGACACTAAAGTTTCATAATTCATAAGTTTTGGACACTCACTTATATTAGATAAAAATCAAATTGGATACTCACTTATACTACATTTAATTATGAAACTTTAGTGTCCAATATGAGATACATATAAAACCATAGTGTCTAATTTGGTCCATTTAAAACCTTAGTGTCAAATATGAAATTCTGATGAAACCATAGTGTCCAATTTGAGCATTATCCCTTTGGAATTTACAAACGTTTTGGATCTCATTTCAGGAACTTTCCCTTAAATCTAACACATTCAATTTGTTTGGATTTACCACAACCCCAAATTCACCCGGAGAAAATCGACCTTACAAGTTAAAAACATTACCCGCCACCAGTTTCAATCTACAGCGCTACTGTTCACAGATAACCGTCTAGTAACCGCTAAACCTCCAACTAACCACATTTCCTTCTTTTTCTCCTCCTTGCAAATTAAAGAAAGGGTTTTTTCATAGTTGTAAAAACCTTGGCTAACCGTAAATCTCTATAATAGTTGAGAATTATTGGTGTCGATTTACTTATAGGTTAAAATAATAAAAAAACTACGTATTTTTACTTTTAAATTATTGAAAGTAATTCTTACTAGGATTTATCAGACCATGCAGATATACAGCCACGTGGTACTACTTTGGGACACGTGTTAATCTTTTGTCCCCTGAGAAGACATTTTTGTTTAAAATTTAAAACAATACATTTCCCATATTTTCTTCATGTTCCAAACAAAAAAACAACTGGTGAGAAGAAATTCCCTCCAATGGTTGACCCGACGTTTTTCTCTCGGCTGTGAAATGTGAAAGACCAACAGGTGACCATTGGATTCGTAGAAAGCTCCACGTGGCAGAATCCAGAGCCTAGCTGGCAAAAGCGTGAGGGCGTAGAACCGGTCTTCAGGGGTTTCAGTGTCCGAAACATGGTTTTACCGATAGGTCCGGTAACCGTGCCCCCCTGTATAAAACTGAGGTTTAAGACATGGGAAAAAAGGTGGTTTTCACAGGGTTTTTCTTCCTTTTCTTTTTCTTCTTCATTTTGCCACAAGAAAGACAACAGCCATGGATGCCTATATGTGAGTTTTTCCAGTGATTCAAGGGCATGGAAATTCTGGGTTTTTGACATTTTGATTCTTCTACACATTATTTCTTCTTTTTTTCTTTTTGGGTCTTGAAAGTTTCCCAGTGGTCTCCACCATTCTCCAATTCTTCATTCCATTGTTGGATTGTGTAAAGTTTGGATCTTTTTGCAAAGAAGAATATACCCTGAGGTCGATTTCCAGTTAGATTTGACGCAGAGTTGGATAGTTTAAAGGTTAATTACGTCATCCTTCATCCCATTTATGTTTTGTTGCAAATTTCTTACTATATTCAGGGATCAGAGTTCAACAATAATCTGGTAAGATACAAAGAAATGTATGGATTCTGGGAAAGTAGGGATCAAGTTTGATGCTTTATGGGTTTTGGTCTTTTTTTTTTTTGAAACCGTCGTTTATAGCATTGTCCTTTTCTCATGGAAAAATTTTATACTACGTATATATTTGCATTTTCACGAAGGATTTCAAGCCCAGGTTTATGTTGATCCGCTTCTATATATATATATATATATATATATATATATATATATATATATATATATATTGTCAGAGTTTTGCAAACTCGGATATTCTTAATTTTCTAAAGGTTGTGTTCTTCACACAGTCGAGATCAGAAAGTGCAACCTGTAATTTATTCATACGAGTATTTTTCTGGTTTGTTATTCTTTGAATTTATTAATCATATATTCATATAGTGTATTCTTGGAGATAGCAGAAACTGGAATATCTCTTTCAGGGGTTATAGGCTTATAGCAGAGTTGTTTCTGTGTGTGCGCTCTGAAGAATCATATACTCTACATAGTAACCATTCAAAGGATTTATAGTTTGAAGGATTTAAAAGTCTAGGCTTTATGAATATTGTCTTCTGCACAATATTTAACATAACATGTATAAGATTTTACAAATTCTTGTGGTTTTCTGTTTATTCCCATCTACATTCTTACAAAAAAAGCAATTCACATTTAGGCACAATAATAAAATTGTAGTTGGTTCTATAAGGCTTCAACATACCATGCAGAGAGATTCTATGCAATAGGTTTAACGTTATTGTTTCCACATTCCATTGCAGGCTGCATGGTTTTCATTTCAACTTCTTCTTGACATTCTTCCTTGACAAAAAAATGGTGTTGCATAAAGGATTAGATAACAACAATGGATTTATTGGCTATGAAGCTCAAATACCGCGATCCACCAGATCAACCAGGGTTAGTATATTACTTCCTTTTATGAACTAGAATTTACTAACTCAAATTTTATCATATTTTTTCTAATTCAGATTTTTGGTCCCCAAGTGTCGTATGGTGGGGTAAGGGGGTCGGATTTGCACAGTCGTAAAAATACGGTTTCCGGTTGAGCCATAGTAAAAATCGCTTCGAAAATTGCATGGACTTTCGTAACAAAGAACTTTCATAACAAAGAAGTACAGACAATTTTGTGAGCTATTTTGTTTTATTCATAATATTTTGAAGCAAAAAAATATCGAGTCTTTGACTCCCTTGCAAATGATGGAAATATTAATGTTTCTCAAAATAAGTTTTAATATTAAAAATATGACTACATGGTCACTGAAGTCACAATGAAAACAGTCCTAGTATTGTTTTGCAAAATAGGACATATGGTCCACAAGACTCACAAATTCTGCATATATTGTGTTGCATATATATTGTCAACCAATGGTTTTCATTTCAACTTCTTCTTGACACTCTTCTTCTATACAGATCAAATTTCCATCTTAACGATGTACAGAGTACTCTTCTTCTATACAGATCAAATTTCCATCTTTTCAATACTTGATGTTTTCAATACTTGGTACTATCTCCGTCCCAAAAAGAGTTGCAAATTTGACTTTTCTTAGTCAAACAGTCTCGTTTTGTTCACCTAATTAGGATGTCAATTTTTAATTATATTCTAATTTGGAGTTTACAACTTTGAAGAGATTTTAATGTAGTTTTTGAATATATAAATTTGGACTTTTATTATTGGTTGACAAAAAAATGTTGACTTTGCAAAACAAATTGGGACGGAGGGAGTACTTACTTCTAAATCTTTTTTTACTTTACTACGGAGTATTTGAAAAGATTTCCCTTTCTTTATTTGATGTCTTATTTTGCTGTAATCCTACATTTTTTAGAAGAGGGGCATTATCTGGAGGAAACCTGAGGTTAATGAACAAAAATGTGCATTTGACTTATTAGCCACAATTGCTGGAAACATACTGCTGGAGGAAGGACATAACTCTCCCTCTTCCGCAAACACATCTTCTTCTACTAAAGACAGTCTTATTAAGAAGGAAAAACAGAATAAAGAAGAAACCTTGGAACACCAACCTTGCGATCATGGCGGCTATGAAAGGCGGTTCTTTCTCTCTGAGCTTGTCTCGCAGGAACATCCTCTCCGAGATAACGCAGAACATGACACGTGGCCCTCTGCATTGACGACAACCTCGTCCGATTGTTCGGAGAAGCTTGAACTTGGAAGCCTAAACAGGAAGGAAGGTCCGGATGTTTCTGGAACCAATGTATCTTCTAGCTGTCAATTAGGGTTTGAATTTGGAAATGGAAGGAATGATCTGGATTTGAAGCGCCGAAGGTCTCTGAAAGATTACCCGTTCAAGAAAAGGAAGCTTTATGATGATAAGAACTCGGTTTCCATTTCTGAAGCTGGGCGCTCTAATGAAGATGCTTCCAGTTATACTCTAACAGCGGGAACACCAAACCCTGCAGCAGGTGAAAGTGGATCCTTTAGAAGTAGCGATTCCCCTGGTAAGAAATTGTTTGACGGATTATACTCTTTTTTTTATGTGGTTAAAGTTGTGCAGAAGAGAAAAAAGAATGACAAATGTCATGAATCACAAGTTATTTGTCAAAAACAGAAAGAAGGGTTTATATCGCACCAGGTTAATAATCGCACCAAAATGTTCGACTATACTTCAGAGAAATATGAAGGCTCCTAAATAGTTCCATTACACTCGAGTAAAAATGACTACAATATCAAACAATGTCAAATCAGTGTAACTAATAGTCGGAATATTAATTATCTTTAGTAAAAAAGCATTGCAGGAAGTCAAGGAAGAAATCATGTGCATGTTATACAAACTAGGAAGTTGTGTAAGGGATGGAGGTGATATTACTTATTCCTTTAAGAAACTTTAAATAGATCAAACAAGAACATATTAGACCAACCAATCCTTATTAAATTTTAACAGATCAAACCAGTAAATTTGAACAGTTTAGGCCAAACCATACATACTGCATCAAACTTGGACAACTGAACTAAATCAGAGCAGTTTAGTCCAAATGAAGAGGTTTAAAATGCCTATTTCTTACCTTGAATAACCATAAAGTATAAGAGGTTTAAAATGCCTATTTCATACCTTGAATAACCATAAAGTATATTTGTTGTCATACTTAAAATAAGGTAGAATGGTCATTTTGTAAGGATCCTCAATATGAGTACAGTTTTGTAAATCTTTAATTATTTATGGACATGGGAGTTCAACCTTACTATAGAACATAACAACAATAATCACAACTCATCTTCATCTTAAAAAGTCAACTTCTGCAACTTGAAAGTAGATTAGTATGCTAAACAGACTCTAAATGAGGTAGAGATACCCAACATGCTCTAAACAGGGCAGGACACTGCCTCAAATTTAAACAAACAACTTATCCAGACCCGAGTTTCATACCATGTACAATTTCGCCTCAGAGTTCTTATATAAGATCTACAAGGAGTCATAAGATCTTATATGTAAGTTCAATAATTTATAACTTGTGACTGCGGGCAATTACCACATCTAACTGATAAGTATTTCTTCTTTGCTCAGTGAAACTCAGAATAAAATCGTTCAGAATCCCGGAGCTGTTTATTGAAATTCCAGAAACTGCAACTGTTGGTTCTCTAAAGGCATGTTAAACCAAAGTTTTTACTACTTCCCATTTACTGTATGAAAAAACAATATCAGACACGCATGCTAGATTACTGATGCATCTTTTCTGCTTCTCTTAATGCGTTTTTTTCAGAGGACAGTGATGGAGGCAGTGACAACAATACTCGGTGGTGGACTACGCGTTGGTGTACTTTTGCAGGGTAAGAAGGTTAGAGATGATAGCAAAACTTTATTACAGTCCGGAATCTGCCATGATAACAACATGCTCAATGCCGTTGGTTTCACACTTGAGCCCAATTCTTCTCAAGATTCCCCACATCTAGTGTCTCCAAAAGACCATCCTTTTGTACTTTCTCGCGACTCGCCTGAACCACTAGCAAGGTAAACTTATTTATTGTGTTCTTCATATATCGACGAAAAAATAAAACACACCGAAGTTCCAACTTAAAAATAGCCAGTAACATATTGATGATATTGAAGATTGTCCTACATCGGCTAACTATGGAATACACAACTAACAAATGGGACCCCGAATATTAGTACGGTTTAAAGACAAGTCTGATGGTCGGTTGTTTGTTTTGGCACAATTGTTTAGGTAGTCCAATTGATTCAGTTTGTCCCATTTATTGTTTTATATTTGAGTATTTGACCATGATAAAATAGTTAAAGTTAGACGAAAGTTTTGGGAAACGAAACGAAATATGCATGATACGCATGATACACTTTCACGAAATTGTAAAATACGCATGATACACTTTCATAAAATACACATGATTCGAGATCAGTTCAAATTGGACTTGTTTACACTAAATACGCATGAGACACTTTCACGAGCATGGCAAATGTATAATTTACTTCAATCTTCACTGCAGCGTGGGGCGTAGTGGAGTCGAAGCGAAACGAAATGATGCTCGTCGAGGGATGCGCATGATCAATTTCATTGGAAGTGCTCATGATTCAGCTACATCAATTAATAAGCGTGGCACATCAGATGATTCAAGAGCATTGGTTGCTGTTCCAAACCGAAACATGGATGCCCTGGCTGTGGCGCCTCCACTGAGAAGACCAAAGAGATCGGAGACAGCCCAACGTCGAATCCGTCGGCCTTTCTCCGTTTCTGAGGTGGAAGCACTTGTTCAAGCTGTCGAAAAACTCGGAACTGGAAGGTGGCGTGATGTTAAGCTGCGCGCCTTCGACAATGCAAAGCATAGAACTTATGTTGATTTGAAGGTTGCTCTAAATCCCATGTTTTCCATGCATCTTCATCGAGCTCTTATTTTTTGTTTTCTTAGAACGCGGGAATCTGTTATTGCAATTTTACTCTCTGCATTAGGTAGACACTGCCTTAAGATCCTAGCTCCAACTTATGATGAATTATGCCCGATTTTTCCAAGAAGATCAATAGACTGCCTTAAGATCCTAGCTCCAACTTATGATGATATGGTATCAAAGTTAATAGTTCCAGTAATTTGGTCCACATAAGCCTAACCAGTAAGCACATGCACATACTTCAAAATTAGCCATGTTCCAATGATCTTCAATAACAAACACAAGAATTTCAAGATTGACGTTCTAAGGAGCCACCTTCTTAAGTTATTCCACGCTCGAATGCAAGGCCTTAGACTATTTCTTTAGTTTGATCTTTTAGGATGGAATTCGTGAACTTTGGGTGTTAATACGTAGTATATCGCAGTCATATAATTGTATCAATCAAAAGTAGGACCTTATCATTTAGGCTTAAGATTTGGACGGTGCAGCCCTTATGTGTTGTTTTTGGGCTTGTTGAATTGGAATGAATTGTGAATTTAATCAATTTATACCTAATAAAATCCATTAATGATAAACTAAAGATATGCAGGACAAGTGGAAAACACTGGTACATACTGCAAGAATATCCCCTCAGCAAAGACGAGGTGAACCGGTGCCCCAAGAGCTACTGGACCGGGTCTTGACTGCACATGCCTACTGGTCCCAACACCATTCTCCAACTTGCTTACTGCTCTAAGATTTACCCCCCCCCCGCCGCACTTAACCTTTCCTCTAATAATAAAATTTGACCATGAAGTAGGAGATAGATTCTTCTTTAGTTTTGGCTCTTGTTTGTTTCACTTTCCTTCACATTAAGTTAGTAAATGCAGTATGTATAGAATCACTTTTCTCCCTTGCTGGGAATGGTTCAAACTTGTAAATGTTTGATCAAACAAGAGCCATGAAGGCATGTAGCATGCATCTTCAGATCTTCAAGAATCAAGATGCTTTTCATTGGTGCGAATTGTTATTCACTCCATTCCCATGGGTTGCTTCAGTAAATGCTCCATTCGTGTCATTTGGCTAAAGCTAAATAAAGAAAAATAAAATTGTGTGATACGCATTTCTTCGATCTATTAGTATTAAAGGTCACTAACATATACTCCCTCCGTCCCGCTATGATTGTCCCATTTTACCATTTCGGTCCGTCCCACTAAGATTGTCTCATACCTTATTTGGTAAAGTTCATGTGGTTCTAAATCATTCCTACTTTATTCTTACTTTATCAATTCAATATCAACCACATAAACCCACTTTTATTAATAACCGTGTCACCTTCTCTTGTTCCAAACTTAGGGGGACGGAGGTAGTACGTAGTATTTGTCAAAGATAAAATCTCACCCCATGGGCCATGGTCCCATGCGCAAATTGTTTACAATACAAACCATATAGTTTCCTCGATCAACCCTGCTTTTTGTACCCACCTTATACCCACCTTTGTGAAGGCTATTTTTTTGTCCGTGAAGCCGATTCACAGACAAAATATTTCTTTGAATTCTTTCACAGACATATTTTGTTTGTGAAGGAATTCACAGACAAAAGAAAATAACTTCACAAACATAGGTGAGTACAAAAGTGGGTATAAAAATGGGTACAAACATCATTTTCCTTCCTCGATTGCACGCCTGAACCTAGGAATGGCCCCGGACCGGTTCGGGCCCGGTTCGGGCCTAGGCCCGGCCGGGCCTCGGGTCTGTTTTGTTGGGCCCGAGCCCGAACCGGTGGCCACCGGTTCCGGGTCCGGTTCCGGGCCGGACCGGGCCACCCGGTTAGTTTATTTTTTTTCTTTATCCCCCCCCCCTCACCCCCCCACCCCCAAACCCCCCAAACCGGTCCTAAACATCAAGCCCAACTCAATAAAGCCCAAAAAAATGAAAAAAAAAAAAACAGTTTTTGGCCCGAACCCGGCCGGGCCGGTTCGCCAAATAGAAGGCCCGAGTCCGGACCCGCCCCCCCACCGGGCCTAGGCCCGACCCGGACCCGGACTCGAGAACCGGTCCGGTTCCGGGCCCGCACAGTGGCGGGCCGGACCGGTCCCGGGCCGGGCGGCCCGAACCGGGTCCAAGTCTACCTGAACCTCTTGATTTGTGTAGTAGAGAGAAATTGCAGATATTTTAACAAAGTGGGCCTCCACTCCGACAGAAATTATGTCCTAGATGATGTACTCATATCTGTTCCAAACGCAAATCATAGTTATCTAAATTAGTTTACTACTCCCTCTGATTCTAAATAAACTTCACACTTTCCTTTTTGGGACGGTCCAAAATAAACTTCACACTTCCTTTTTTCCTTATTTGGCAAAGAAATCTACATCAAAACAGTGTTAAACAGTGCTCAACAGTGCCAAACAGTGTCTCAACAGTGCCAAACAGTGCCAAACAGTGTCTCAACAGTGTACTCTACAGTAAAGTCAATTTTATTTCCTTAATAACTGTGAAGTCAAACACTGAAGTTTAAAAAGAACCGGAGGGAGTATATCGGTTCCAAATGCAAATCATAGGATTTACGGCAAATCATACCGTGGGATCCAGTGACGTATCCAGGAAATTTGGTGAGTGAGAGCAAACTTGACTACAATTTAGTCTCATATTTCACAAATAACAAATCACATTATTAATATTGTTTGATTAAATTTAGTTTATAATATCTATGTACAAGTATGAATAAAAAGAAGATTAATTTATGTTACGGGTGTGTAAAGATGTAATTGTAGATAAAATGTAATAAAATTACCTAAATACTAAGTATGTATGTTTTAACTTATATGAGTTATAAAATGTAAGTTAACTTATTTAGCCTAAACACCTAATTACTAAGATGTGTACCTAAATTACCTAATTACCTAAACATACTGGAGTATAAGTTAAACACAACAAAATTTAGTGATTTTTTTTATCCTTTTACTCTTTTAATATTAAAGAAAACACTTTTAGTCCTATTTTATAATTTTTTTCCTACATTTAACTCTTATTTTGAGCAATTTCTTGTAAAAATTTGGACATATATATAAGGCTTGGGTTGGGGTTGAGTGGGGGCAGCTGCCCCCATAGTGGATATGCCACTGGTGGGATCGGTATACCATGAGCATGGTATACCCATCCCAATACCGTACCGTTTTTTCATAACAAACAAATCATACGCTGCATGCTATTTACGCAATTGTTAGGTGGTCACGTGATATCTCCACTCACTTGCACACTAGAACATCCTTCCCCACCCAGGCAACCCATGTCTCTTTTTTCTTTTTTCTTTTTCTTTTTACTTTTAATGTTTCCAAATGTTTTTATTTTAATTTAAGAACACTGTGATGTAATTAAATTTTGTGATCGAGTTTTCAACTTTTCATCCTTTCAAAATAAAATAATTACTTCTTCATTCTCTCTTAGTCCTTATTGATACACTTTTTTCCTTTTTTATTATTCAACTAAAATTTCAACCAAAAATTAATTATTTTTTCTTCAAAATAATTTTTTTTTCTTTATAAACTTTTTATAATATATTTTTCATATTCATACACTTTTTATACTATATTTCTTATCTCTTTTATATATTTCTAGTGTTTCTAAGACATTAAGTTTGTTTATTTCGATTTAAATTTGATAAAACATGAGATTCATGTATGTAAGTTTTGTTTATAAACAATTTCTGGAGTTACATTTGATAGTATATGGAGTTATATCTTTTTATGGGCAAGTTACATCTTCTTGTACTCGAGTTACATTTGGACTGGCCTTCACAAGTTACATTTTGCATACACCTAAGTTAGATTTTTCATCAAAGCGAATTACATTTTACCATACCACGAGTTACATCACAAAATCAATTCCATCTATTCAAACAAAAAAAATCATTTTTTGGCAAAAAAAAAAAATTGATTTTTTGACTAAAAATGTTTTTTTTTGTAAAAACATTTATTTTTCTTTGAAAACATTTTTATGACCTAAAAACAAAACATATTAACCACTTACGTAAATTAATTTGAGCAATTAGACTTTTTGTTTTCATTGCTTACATTTGATAGTGTATGGAGTTACATCTTCTAATGTGCGAGCTACATTTTGTTTATGCGTGAGTTACATCTTCTTATACGTGAGTTACATTTAGACTTGCCTAAACAACTTACATTTTGCATACATTTAAGTTAGACTTTCAATCAACGAGAGTTACGTTTTCTATAACATAAGTTATACAACCTTGCTATTGAACAAAAGATTCATTTTTTGCAAAAAAAAACATTATTATTTTTGGCCAAAAATTGTTACTTTGACAAAAAAGTGATTTTTAATAAAGCATTTTATGGACTTTGATATTAAAAACAGAACGTGTTCACTTTTTAAGTAAACCCCTGCTATTGAAACAAATAAATCACTTTTTTCCAAAAAAAAACTGATATTTTTTTAGGAAAAAATGATTTTTCGGCAAAAAAATGATTTTAAGGAAAAAAGCATTATTTATGAGCTTCATAATAAAATTAAAACATATTCACTATTTACGTAAAGTAATTGAGCGATTAGATTCCTTGTTTTCATTGAAATCAATATTTTATTTTTTATAATCCGTATTAGGCAAATTACATTTCGATTTGATTGCAGTTACATTTTGTATTAGCGTGAGTTACATTTTTTGCACGCGAGTTACATCACACTGCTGCTGAACAATAAAAAAAAATTAGTGTTCCCCCACGTGAATAGTAACACGCGTTTTGCATGTGGGAGCAGCATGCTCACCGTGGGCTACTCCCACGATATACGAACTCAGTATTTACTTTTATGAGAATGAAAACTAAGTGATGCTTTTGTGGAAGTATGGACAAACGGAAGTTTAACACCAAAATAAGAATTTTAATTGGTGTATTTGATTCATGTTTTTTATTTGGAGGAAGAAAAATTAGATTTAGCGAATGTTGAACACACAATTTCTCTATCCCTTTACTTTCATGATAAAATGAGTAAGTGTGTGTTTGGCATAAATAATTGATTTAATTTTAATTGGTGTAATAAGCTTTTAATAACTAAAAAAGATTTTAAAGGGAAAAAATTATATACTATTTTATAAAGCTTGTCGTTTTATTTATGTATGTTTGGTATATCAAATGATTTTGACTAATTAATACTAAAAAATGTGAATTTCTTCACAGAAGCTACTTAAATTGTTAAAACAACTTTTATGATTATTGTGTTTAAACAAATACTTAAGAACTTTGAGACCTTTGAAACCGTGCAAAAGTTATAAAGCCCGACTTATCTTTATCAAAGATACATTAAATATATAAACAACCAAAAAGTTTTATTGAAATAACTTTTATTGACCAATTAGATTTTCCTTCCAAGATATATAATTGATTGAGAAACTATAATATATTTACACCATTGATATTTTAACTAAAAATAATGAAATAGAACATCCATTTTCGCCTGGAAAATATTTTTTACTTTATTGACAAAAAACTCAAATTCGATTATAATTTTTTTATAAAATATTTTATTACCCGAAAGTGAAATAACTTGTATAATTCTTACTTTAAAAGGAATAAATAAACTGTTTTGGGATGATCAAATGAAGGAAGTTTTCAAAATTATGTATAGTAGGCTGAACTGCTGAAGTGAGAATTTTCTTAACTACGTTCAAGGTATAACTCTTGTTGACCGGTTTCGTATCACCACCCTCTAGCACCACAAAATGTGAGTGAATTTCATGGCTGAATTCATTTTTTTTAAGCAAGGCATTCATATATTAATATTACATATACAATTTCATATATAATATCATATATTATTACAATGTATGATAATATATTCTATACAACATGTCAACATACTTAGTAAATTGTACTACCTTGGTCCCTTGAAATGTTGGCATCTAGTAAAGTTTGGACCATGTTTTGATTAGTGTAATATTATGGAAGTTATAAGTTTTATACTTTTATGAAAGTATTTTGAACAAACAACATTTTCATGTCATTTTTATATTATAATACTTTGTAAAAAAAATATATAATTGCTCAAAGTTTCAAGGAAT